AGAGTGGTGTGTTGAAGTCTCCTACTATTATTGTGGAACTGTCAATTTCTCTTTTCAGTGTTGTTAGAGTTTCTTCTATGTATTTTGGAGCCCTGTCATTGGGTGCGTAGATGTTATGGTTATGTCTTCATGATGGATCGTCCCCTTAATCATTATATAGTGTCCTTCTTTGTCTTTATGGTGGGTTTTGTTTTAAAGTGTGTTTTATCTGTGATTAGTATTGCCACTCCTGGTCTTTTTTTTTGTTAGTTGTTAGCTTGATATATGTTTTTCCAACCTTTGACTTTTAATAAATTCACATCTTTGTTTCTAAGGTGTGTCTCTTGCAGACAGCATATTGAAGGATCCTTTTTTCTTGTCCATTCTGTTACTCTCCTTCTCTTTATGGGTGCATTGAGTCCATTTACATTCTGTGTAATTATTGATAGATGTGAGTTTGTTGCTGTCATTTTGTAGTGCTTTTTTTTGTGGTGCTGACATTTTCTTTGTTCTTCTTACTGTCCTGTGCTGAGTTACTTTTGTTTGTGGATCTTTTTTTCATTTCTTTTGTTATTGTAGGTTTTGTTTTTGCTGAGACTTTATGTTTTTCCTCTTTATTTCTGTGAGTATGTTTGTTAACTTTCTTTGTGGTTACCATGAATTTTACCCTTATCTTTCTAAGTTTGAAGCAGTCTACCATTACTTGGTATTGCCTTGCCTTCCTCTCTATTAGAAGGTTCTATACCTATGTCATTTATTTCCTCTTTTATTGTTTGGATGTTGTTGTCATTTACTGATTAACTGCTCTGATTCCCTCTTGTATTTCTTTTGGTTTTGGATAGTCCTTGAGAGTTCATTTCTTAGCTTGGTATCTGGCTGGTAAGATCCTACGTCCTAGATTCTGCCTGTGAGCTGAAGTTGTTTGTCCTCAGAAGGACTCCCTGTAATAATTCTTGTAAGTTTGGTTTGGCTTTTACATATTCCCTTAATTTCTGTTTATCTGGAAATGGCCTAATTTCACCATCATATGTGCACAAGAGTTTTGCAGGATATATTAT